CAGAAAATTACAGTTTTTAAAAGGCAGCCTGACATTGGGAGTTTATACATTTAAATCAATGGAGATATTTTTTTTTTTTGGAGACAGTCTCACTACATTGCCCAGGCTGATCTGAAACTCCCGGGCTCAAGCAATCCTCCCACCTCAGCCTCCCACAGCTGAGGACTACAGTAGAGGGCTATATTCCAAATGATAAGCCTTTTCCTTTATTTTAAGGGGGGGGTGGAAATCACAGCAGAAATCCACAGATGTCACCTGATGCCATGTTAAGGAAGTAGGTTAACACAGAAAGTAGAACACAGGGAGTTAAAAGTCCTTATGTTGACAAGCTCTCTGATTAACTTAACTATAAAGGAGATTTTATTGTACAGCCTCTGTGGCAGTATAGCTATCAAAGGTCAGGTTAGATACCTACCGGCATACCATAATCTTGGGTTTCCTTCTTCCATTCGATTTACCCATACTTCATTCCAAGAGTGAGCGCAGTCTACCAACAGCACCAACTGGATGAGGATAAAGAAAGCGGCACCTCCCATGCCAACAGTAAACCAGGCTACAAACCAAGAGAACAAAGTTATTCTCTACCGTAAGAGTAACATCTCAGAATGCTATTGTTCAACATCCTGCACAGATTTCAATTCAAAGAAGAGAGATGGTAAAAACATTCTGTCTCTAGCAGTCTAGCAAGATTACAATTCCAAACTCAAAGGCATTCTCTGAGAAGTAGTCTGTTGGGTTTCAGACCTTTTAAAATGTTTTAGCTTGTGCCAAGGGGAGCCTGGGACCCAACATTCCAAATGATATGATAAACCTTTTCCTTTATTTTAAGTGGGGGAAAAAAATCACAGTAGAAATCCACAGATGTCACTTGATGCCATGTTAAGGAAGTAAGATAGAGACAGAACACAAGGAATTAAAAGTCCTTATGTTGACAAGCTCTCAGATTAACTTTGTACTGAGTCAAGTGAGAAGCTAAGGTATTAAAATATTGGCAATGGATTAACATATGGTTCCAAAAAAGCTGGTAACTGGGCAGAAGGCCTCCTGGCTTTAAATGGATATATTAATACTGGGTTTCAGATACCAAGTCATATTAATCAGACATCATCTCGTTTAATTGTCAGTTCGACAAAATCAGTAATGAAAAAAACATAACTTTAACTCAATCATTTGTAGAGTCTGTATAGCTTATAATTAACTCCTTCAAATAGTGAGCCCTACCTGTGGTAAAAGGACCCCCAGGAATGTAGAAAGCCCCAACCATGATTCCAACAAGAGCGGCAATTTTGAAGAACCAAAACCTATTAAAATACAAGAATGCATTTATGAAATGCTAAGTTTCACCCTTATACTGAGAAAAATTAATTTCTGAAATGCAAAAATAAAGTCTTAATAGCTTTTCTCCCAACATGACGATTGCCTGGGCTTGTTTCTTTTGACATGAGGCTAATTCATTTAATATTTCACACAATTAAAGGACAACATTAGCACACAGAATAAGTCATCCACATTAACAATAAGAGAAAAATATGTAAATTTAGAATCTCCCTACTGCTAGCACTTATAGGTTGGAATTTTTCTAGCATGCTGGGAGTTCTAAAGTAACAGTGTTACCTATATACGGAGCCTTTAACTGTAAGGTTTGAAAGAAAAGTAATCACCAAATATTTTGTTTACAACATAGGGCACAAATGCCTTGCCCAAAATGACACAGCTCATCACTGGCAAAGCCAGGACCAAACGTGACTTTCAGTTCATGATCTTTAATGACTACCTTATATGGCAAAGTGAGAACCAGGCTTTGGAGCTGGGCAGACCTGAGTTTCAATCTGAGCTCCAACCCTCAATTGGCTAAGAGAGCTCAGGCAACTTATTTAACCTCTCCGAAATTCAGTTATTGCATTTGTAAAAAGGGATTGTGATACATATATAAAGTTTATAAAGCTTCCTTCAGAAACTGGTGAGACAGAAAGTAGGAGTGAGAAGCATTAGAATAGGTAAATCAGTGGCCCATAAGTACCCACCTCAGCCCCCCAAGTAGCTAAGACTATAGGTGACCACCACTGTGCCCAGCTAATGTTTTTTTGTTTGTTTGTTTTTTTGCTTTTAGTTTTGTTTTTGTAGAGACAGGTATTCGATATGTTGTCCAGGCTGGTTTTGAACTCCTTGGCATCATGTGATCCTCCCACCTAAGCTTCCCAAAGTGCTGGGATTACAAGCATGAGCGACTGTGTCCAGCCTACTGGTTTCTGGTTTTGTTTTGTGTGTGTGTGTATACTGTTTAAATATATCAGATACATGTGTATCTTTAAACAACGGAAAGAGAAAAGTATGTGTATGTAGTATCTAGTGCTTAAAATGTTTGACAGGCATTCAATGAAAATCTAGGAACTTGAAGCAGAAGTACTTTTAAAAAGACAGACAGAACTCCACATCCCCTCCACGTTACAGGGCTCTAACTGAAAATGACATTCAAACAATTTCATGAGTCAAACAGATCAGAAATACATCTGGGCTACTGATTTACATATTCCACTGCTTCCATCAGAATGGCAACATTAACTGCTTAAGGGGAGGAGGAGCCACACCACAATATAACAAGTTAATAATCAATCTCACATACCCATTGTGTACTGCTGCTCTAGGATCTTTACTGGTTTTTACTTTTAACATGAGCAGAAAGAAGACAAAGAAAAAGATGGCCAAGGCAAAGTTGATCCGATATACAGCTTTATAACCGACCAGCACATCACAATCTTTATCTGCCTCTACGTCAGACATCCTGATTTTAAATCCCCCTTCACAGAATCCAGGAATCTGAAAAAAAAAAAAGCAATTTCAATGCTATGGGAATATCCATATTTAAACAAAGATTCTATTCCACCACAGGAAAGCCTGGATTTATAAAATTACCCACTTTAACGACTGCAAGACTGTCTATGGAATTTTTCTCTTTGGCTTCCAATTCACTTACAATTGTGTTACCAAATAGTATAAACAACTTTCATTTTAAAAATTAAAGTGATCTCTCTTCTTTGCTTTTATGCTGATGAGATTATCTCCCATTTTCTCATAAGATTTTCCAGCTACAACTGACTCCTCCAAAGGTGAAGAACTTGTCTAGTGTAGATACTTAAATCTTAAACACACAAGGAAAGAAAATGTTTTGGAGTCATTCTTTTCATGTTTTCTGTCAGTTATTAGACTAGAGCCTGAAGATGTTCATTTTATATTTCTGGGAAAGGACTAGTATCTTCATACTGTGTGTCTTGACTACACCCAAAAGTAATTCAAAATTCCAAAACTACAATAAACTTGACTGAGTTTAACAGTGAAGAAATAAAAACAATTACAACTAAAACTGTGCAAAATATAAAAATAAAAATAACCAGTATGTTAAGGGTACTGTTACTTCTACTTACCTTCTTCAGCTGAGTTTCCATCTTTTCAGTCAACATGATACAGGATACAACAGTGCCCAGGAGGAGGATGAAGGCATAAACGAGGCGCGTCACCATGGAATTCTTAGTGTTAGGACAGCAACCACACAGCAAACATGATGCACCACCGCAGAGGCATGGAACCTGTAACAAGCACACCATGGGTTGTTTGACACCTTCATCAGTGGACTCGTCATGACACAGATGTCACAGAATAGAAGACAAGGCAAACCAGGCTTTATAGTTTTAACTGAGAGAATCATGGCTAGGAGAAGTGGTTAAAAGCATGGGCTCTGGAATCAACATCATTGCTGCCACTTTACCTCTGCAAATTACATAAGCTAACATTATTTCCCCATCTGTATTTTTTTTTTTTTTGAGACAGAGTCTTGCTGTCATCTAGGCTAGAGTGCCATGGTGTCAGCCTAGCTCACAGCAACCTCAAACTCTGGGCTCAAGCGATTCTCCTGCCTCAGCCCCCTGAGTAGCTGGGATTATAGGTGCATGCCACCACATTCGGCTAATTTTTCTATTTTTAGTAGAGATGGGGTCTCAAACTCCTGACCTCAAGCGATCCTCCCACCTTGGCCTCCCAGAGTGCTAGGATTACAGGCGTGAGCCACCACGCCTGGCTTTTTCCCCATTTGTAAAATGGACTCAATAATAAAATCTTCCTCCCTCAGACTTTGCTGTATCAAATGAGCACACAACACAGTGCCTAAAACACAGTTAAGAGCCAAATAAATGTTAATTATATTCACACAGAGATCATCCTTTGTCTTAAAAATCAGAGAAAAACACAAACCTAACTCCACTTGCTGTTTACTGAGAATATTAGTTACCAAAGCTGATACTCCAACACAAAGCAACATTACATGGAAACCCCCTTATAAATAATGATGGCAAGGGCTTTTTAGCTTCCCTCAAAAGTAAACCAGAGGTACATCAAAAAGTTAAACACAGAATTACCATATGACCCAGCAAGTATATACCCCAAAGAACTGACACAGCTATTTAAATAAAAGCTTTTTTTGTGTGTGTATACTGTTTAAATATATCAGATACATGTTTGTTTATCTTTAAACAACAGAAAGAGAAAAGTATGTGTATGTAGTATCTAGTGCTTAAAATGTTTGACAGGCATTCAGTGAAAATGTTCACATGGAGCACTATTTACAATCACCAAAATGTGGAAACAACCAAGTGTCCATTAATTGATAAGTAAATGTGTTCTAAGTAAAATATGGTATATCAACACAATGGGTTGAGAAATAAAAGGGAACGAAGTACTGATACATGGTACAACATGGGTGAACCTCGAAAACATCATGCTAAGTGAAGGAAGCCAGACACAAAAGGTCACATCTTACATTATTCCTTTTTTATTTTTTTTGAGACAAGGTCTCACTCGTCACCTAGGCTGCAGTGCGACAGCACGATCATGGCTCACCACAGCCTCAAACTCCTAGGCTCAAGCAATCCTTCTACCTCAGCATCCAGAGTAGCTGGGACCACAGGCACCTGGCTAATTTTTCTTATTTTTTGTGGAGACGGGGTCTCCCTATGTTGCCCAGGCTGGTCTCGCATTCCTGGCCTCAATATTCCATTTTTTATAACGAAATATACAGAATAGGTAAACTCAGAGACAAAAAAAAAGGAATAGGGATTGAAGGGAAAGGGTATTGGGGAGTGACTCCTTAATGAGTAAGGGGGTTTCCTTTTGGGTGATGAAAATGTTCTGGAACTAGGTAGATGTGATAGCAGCAACACACCATGAATGTACTAAATGTCACTGGATTATATACTTTCACATGGTTAATTATGTTATGTGAATTTTACCTCAGTCTAAGAAAAAAAGCATAACCTAAATCTTTGGTCAGCTAAAATCTGTTAATGACCACCTAGGTGCCAGAGGATATAATTTGAGTCATTCTTTTAGATATATTTAATTAGGAAGCTGCTTGAATTTCTCTGACAGGTGACGTTATCAAGTCATATTACAAGGACAGGCTAATTCAGAATTAGCAGATGTAGACAATGGATGACTCTAGTCTCACAATATGGTCCCAGTAATAATCTTTACTTTTTATAGGTGGACTTTACCATGGTTTTGTGTGGTTTGGAGCAAGCCACTGAACTTCTAAAGAGATCAGTTTTCTCACCTGTAAAAATGAGCATCATACCACCTACCCAAAAAGGGCTATTATGTGAAGAATGAAAGGATGTCAGAAATATAAAGCACCTGCTTTAATGCCTGACATCATAGAGACTCAATATAGCATGGTAACCATTATTATTTGTAATTGTAACAGCAATGGGAAATTGACCAGCCGTCTCAGTCTCCAATTCTTAACTACAGTCTGGGCCAAATGACCAAAATGAAGTCTGTATCAGATGTTTTACAGCCAAAACAATAACATTAATTGCCTTCAGGTTTACTTTATCTGCTGCACTCTCACTCCTGTCTCCCTTTGGCTATCTTTTTCTGCCCATTCAAATAATTGCATAGTAATTGCCTGTTTGTTATGGGTTGAATTGTGTCCCCCCAAAATGTCACATGTTGAAGTCCTAATCCCCAGTATCTCAGACTGTAACCTTACTCGGAAACAGGGTCATTATAAAGAGAAGAAATTTGGACACAGGCTTGCAAAACAGGGAGAACGTCACATGAAGATAAAGGCAGAGATCTACCAGTCAAGGAACATCAAAGATTGTCAGCTAGGGGAAAGGCAGGAACAAATTTTTCCTCACCACCCTTAGAAGGGTGGTGTCACCAGCGTTGGTGTCACCAACCCTGCTGACACCTACATCTTGGAATTCTAGCCTCTAGAATTGAGAGACAATAAATTGCTGTTGTTTAAGCCACCCAGTCTGTGGTACTTCATTATGCAGCCCTAGCAAACTAATACACTTAACTATTAATACAACTGTCACAAAAATACCTAACAGCGGAGACTATCTTTACAATGTTTTATCTTTTGCTCCTTTACACAAAAGGTATTCAGTAAATATCTGTGAAAAAAACCTGTCCTACTATGTGTCCTCATTTCCCTATTTCAATAAAGGACAATTCTATTCCTCCTGTTACTCAGGCCAAAAACCTGGAGTCATCCTGGATGCCCTCCCTTTTTCCAAAATCCACATCCAATTTGTCAGTACCTCAGCTCTATCCTCAAAATACATCCAGAGGCTGGGCGCAGTGGCTCATGCCTGTAATCCTAGCACTCTGGGAGGCCGAAACGGACGGATTGTTTGAGCTCAAGAGTTCGAAACCAGCCTGAGCAAGAGCGAGACCCCATCTCTACTAAAAATAGAAAGAAATTAATCGGATAACTAAAAATATATAGAAAAAAAAATTAGCCGGGCATGGTGGCGCATGCCTGTAGTCCCAGCTACTCGGGAGGCTGAGGCAGAAGGATTGCTTGAGCCCAGGAGTTTGAGGTTGCTGTGAGCTAGGCTGACACCACGGCACTCTAGCCCGGGCAACACAGTGAGACTCTGTCTCAAAAAAAAAAAAAAAAAAATACATCCAGAATCTGACCGCTTTCACAGCATCCTACCTAGCACTTTGGGCCAAGTCACTACTATCATCTCTCATCTGGATTAAATGCAATAGCTCCTGTCTCACTGCTGCAGGAACCCATTCAGAACCCCTGAGTTGGTATAAAGATTATTTTAAGCTGAAGATATTTAAGATTCAATAGATACAGGAAAAAAGCCTTCCCAGAGGTTCCCTTATCTGACTAAAAGCGGCAACTTTTGAGAAATGCGGCTGCCATAAATTCCCTCTCCAGGGAGTTTTAAGGCCATGAAGAAGCTGGCAAGATCTCTCACAACTATGTAAAGGAGCATTATCACAAATTTTCCTATCTCCTGTTTGTTCTCATAAAAACCCAATTTTCCTCCCTAAAGAAATCTATTTGTCCTTCCCATAGAAGCCTTTGTCCTACTAAGTTAGGAATATAAGCCTCGAATTCTAACCAACCTATCGAGTTATTCATCACTGAACCCTCCTGCACATGTGTGCCTTGCATGCATAAAATAAACTCCTGTTTCTCTTGCTAATCTGTCTTGTCAGTCTAATATACAGGCCCCCAGGCGCAGAACCCAAGAGGTTGGAGGAAAAGCTTTTCCTTCTCTACACTGCTTTACCCTTACCTTTCTACCACTTATTCTCCACACAGTAACCAGAACCCATGTTGTTAAAACCATAAGCCTAGATCATGCCACTCCTTTTTTCAAACTCTGTAATGGATTTGAAGTAGAAGATTGGAAAATTCCACTAAAGTGGAATTCTTAGAAATTCCACTACTGGGCTTTCTCCCTTGTGATCCTTACCTGGGCCCCCTCCTCCCCTGCGACCTTGCCCTCATAAATCACCTGTAGCAATTAGTGTACCAGGCTGTAAAGTAGCTTAGGACTCTGCCTCACTAAAGGTAACCCTGTTGTAGCCATGGCCCTCCTCCTTAAGCAGAGTGTGTAAAAGACTGCAATTCTCTTTGTCTGGTGGTCAGAATTTGGGGAGAGCAAATTCCCCTTTGGGCCAATTGCTGGCCGGCATATAAAACCTGTTTTGCCAAAAATCTGTGTGTGGCTCTTGGTCTATCCTTGGTCAGCCCTGTCGTAACAGATTCCCATATCACTCGAGAGTAAAAGTCAAAGTCTTTAATGAAAGGGGCAGCCTTGCAAAAATAACAGGAAAATACCTAATCCCACAATTTCACAGTAAAAGTTAAAAGATCAATCCTATGAGTTCTCCCACTAACAGCCACCCAGCGGGAGTTCTGTTTTGCACAACTTCTGAAAAGAGCTGAACAGTTGAAAAGAGACGTAAATCTTTCTCTTTAAAATTGTTTTTTGAGAATCTGCTTTTATAGAGTTCCTGAGCAAACAGCAGGAGAATGTGCTACAGCCTCAACCACATCTGGAGGGAAGAGTCACAACTCTTGCGATAATGATAATCCAAGGAAACCTGGGGAAACCAACCAACTCTTGGACTTTGACACCCAGCCCCAGCTTTTGTTATCAACTGACAGCCATCACTATTTTTTTCTCTTCATCGCCCTTAAAACTGGCAAGCCAGTTGGCCCTCAGGGCTGACATCTCCCTTCTCTTTCTTTGGGATGCCACGGTCTCCCTGTTCTCTTCCCTCTCCTGCTTCCCCTCTCTCACTCTCTCTCCTCTAAGAAGATACAATAGACTTTTTTTTACTTTTATATATCCTAATCTCTGTGTGAGAAACTTCTCCACCTGTGCTGTGAGCACCTACTAGGCTTTCCACCCTAAGAGTTAAAAACCTACAAGACCATATCATAGCTAGCTACATGACTTAGCTCCCTACCTTTCTGATTTTGTTTCCTATTATTCTTCTTCTCACTCATTCCACTCTTTGATATAATGAACTCCTTGCTGTTTCTACTGAATAAAAGGGATCAATAAAATATGAAAGTAATGGATAGGCAGAAATGCTTGGATGGCATCAATTCAAATCTTACCTTTCAATCAAAGCCAAAATGTGTTTCAGGTTATCACCACAGGAAAAACAAGTTTGTTTCAAATTGCCAGTTCACTCCTTAACTAATGACCTTCTCAACCATATTTTTTTTAAACTCTATTTTGTAAATAGTGAATTTGAACCACTAGTAGATTGTAAAAATCAGATGAATAGGATTTTTTTTTAATGTGATAGAAAAGGAAAATTGGACAGTAGACGGTAAAGGATTATTTCATAATACTTTGTCTCTAAATGGATGCATTAGACCAATTATGTAAAATGTATTTCTTAAGGTCAAGGTCAGAAAAATTATAAAACCACTGCTCTCAAGAAAGTCCTAAAAATGCTCTATGATTTTGGCAAAAAAGAAAAAAAAAAAAGCAAGCCATAAATGACTGAATGCCCTTTGATTTAGGATCAACAACTTTAAAGGACGAAAAATACATTCTGTTCCTATGAAATAACAGTGGAATGAGCTAAGACAGAATCCTTAGTGTGATACTGTGAAATATGTATTTTGGTCCCCATGTCCTGGCATGCAACTCCTAAAATCCTTGGAATCACTAAGTGATCAAGTGTCTTTTTGTGTGGTAATGAGATGACTGGCAGCTGTCAGCCCCTAGGAAGCTTCAGTAAGAGGGCAGGTCTCTTGAAGACCAAGGCAGAATTAGAGGGTAGAGAATTTCAGCTCCTCCCACCCCAACCTCCAAGGAAGAGAGTGGGGCTGAAAGCTAGGCTGACAACCAACGGCCAATAATTTAATCAATGATGCCTACATAATGGCACCTCCATAAAAGCCCAAAAGGACAGAGTTCAGAAGAGCTTCCGGATAGCTGAACATGTGATGGTTTCTGGAGGGTGGTGCCCTAGAGAGGGCATGGAAGCTCTGCACCCCTTCCCCCTTAGCTCATCCTGCGCATTTCTTTATCTGTATATTTTAAAATATCCTTTATAGTAAATGAGTAAAGATGTTTCCCTGAATTTTGTGAGCAATTTAATCAAACCCAAGAAGGAGGGTTATGGGAACCCTGATTTACAGCTGGTCCTTGGAAGCACAGTTAAAACAACCTGAGGAGGCCGGGCGTGGTGATCCTAGCACTCTGGGAGGCCGAGGCGGGCGGATTGTTTGAGCTCAGGAGTTCGAAACCAGCCTGAGCAAGAGCGAGACCCCATCTCTACTAAAAATAGAAAGAAATTAATCAGAAAACTAAAAAGATATAGAAAAAATTAGCCGGGCATGGTGGCGCATGCCTGTAGTCCCAGCTACTCGGGAGGCTGAGGCAGAGGATTGCTTGAGCCCAGGAGTTTGAGGTTGCTGTGAGCTAGGATGACGCCACGGCACTCTAGCCCGGGCAACACAGTGAGATTCTGTCTCAAAAAAAAAAAAAAAAAAATAGGTTTACAAATTACAAACTGATTCAGCACACTTATTCACTTTATCCTCACAACAGTTCTCAAAGGGAGGAATGCTGGGGTGATTATCATCTGAGATACATGACTCGTAGAGGTCCCAAAAGGTTCAGGCTATGGCTTCCAATTTTGAATAATAATCCTCAAGGCCTTCTTTCCCTTGCACTAGAACTGCCGGCAGGCCTCGGTTAAAATCCCAGCTCTGCCACATACTCTGTAGTTTCGTCAAATCCCGTGCTATCGGATAAAAATATTCGAGCCACCCAAGATTAAATGACGCCACCTTAAGAGGTGCTTTGGAATGAACCAGAGCACCAGCCCCTTGGTCTTACTCCAGCTCCGCAGGAACTTCGCGTCCGGAAGGCTCGCGGGGGCGGGGCAATCGGAATTGTAAACAATGGCGGCCTAGCCACCTCCGTTCCTCAACTAACCCGGAAAGCAAGCGGCCCGATCCCGCTCTGGGGAAATCGCAGATTTGGGGCTGGGCCTCCGGAAGCCCTCTGCACCCCAGGGCCTCCCGCAACCCCTGGGCCTCTGTGGCCGAGGCCCGTTAGGGTCCGGACTCGAAGTTCCTTTCCTATGGCCCTTCTCCCCAGCACCGCTGGCCCAGCGAGAACACAGGCCCCCGAACTCACCCAGCTGGCGAGGGAAAAGACACCCAACACAGCTCCCATGGTGACGGCAGTGATGGAAGTCGCTGATCCAGAGGTTTCAAAGGCGGTGGTAACCGCCAGCTGAGGCGTCGCCCCAGATATGCGACGGTTTCTCAGGCCGGAAACACGGTCCACCCCTCGACCGACGCAAAGTCTGCGCCATTGCGTGGCCCCACCCACCGTCCTCGGCGAGCGCTGCCGAGAGGCCGCCTGTCATTGGTTGAGGGGGAAGGCGGGACTCAACCAGCCTGGGGTTGCTGGAACTCTGAAGGTATCATTCCTTACCTCACGCATTTGTAGTCCCTAGGAGCCCATTATGTGTAAAGATCTGCGGGTTACAGAAGTGTGCAGAGAGACACAGTATCCTTTCTAAGGGGGCCTGGTGAGTCACGCCTCAAGGGATAAAATCTCACTAAACAGGTTTTGTTAACCCAATATAATGTAGTTTATTTCCCAACCTGTTTCCGGTATAGCATCACGTGAAAGATAGAAGACCCTTATCCTAACTCAAGCATTCTTTTCCGCTGACTCCTGGTCTTTAAAAAAGACAAAGCCTAACTCTTTCAGCTAGTTGTCAACTAAAGAATCGATAAACCCACCTATGCCTTGTAAGCCCCTGCTTCGAGATGTCCTGCCTTTTTGGGCCAAACCAATGTACGCCTTCCATGTATTGATTTATGACTTTACCTTTTATACAGTTCTCTCTCCCTGAAATGTGTAAAATCAAACTGTAACCCAACCACAGTGAGTCCACTTGCTCAAGACTTCTTGGGCGTGGCTCTGGGTCATGGTCCTCAAATTTGGCTCAGAGTAAACCTCTTTAAATTATTTTACACAGTTTGGCTTCTTTTTCGTTGGCGTATTGTAAGGGGACAGTAACTTAGGGAGTGGTCTTGAAAGGCTTTTTTGAAGAATTTATATTTAATCCGAAAATTTAAGGATGAGTCCAAGTTAACCAAGGGAAGATGGGCATTGTTTCCTAAAATGTGAAATGTACACCATTTGGGATAAATGAAAGAATCTAAGGGGTGCATGAATAGGACATTAAGTAACATTGAAAAGCAGAATGAAAATATCTGGTTTCAAACCAACAGGCTAGTTGTTTGAGGCTAGTATATATTTAACATTTTTCTAACATTTATCTCCCTTTTTAACAGAGTGAAGGCTTCATTTTCCAAATCTCTGCCATAGGCAAGCACATCTATGGTTTAATAACACTGTCTTATTTTGTTTAATTTTTTTTGTAAGGTCTCGATATTGCCCAGGGTGGTCTTGAACTCCTGGCCATTGTCTAGCCTCAGCCTGCCAAAGAGCTAGGATTATAGACATGAGCCACCTTGCCTGGCTGCTGTTTGGTTTTGAGGTGTTTGCAATTATTCTTCCATTTCTACCAAGTAATACTGGATTCCCATTTAAGCAGAGATGTAAATTTTCCTTTATAAATTTATGTAAAAATGGAGAGTTCATTTAAAGAAAAAAAATGGAAAAGTTATTTGCTTACATAATAGTACAGGTGTAATACAGATATGGAAGAAATGATAATGTCTGGGCAACAAGGTATCAGCCTTTCATTTCTTCTCCTGTGGTGTGTTAATCTTCCCTGATTGAAAAAATTCTCTGGGAGAGGATTCATCACAACTGAATTCCTTCTGGATTATCTGCCTTTAGTCTGATGAGGGAAATTCAGGAAAACCCCCTCTGTGCATTTGCTGTTCCTCAAATGCCCTCAGTTTGAAGCAATTATCATACCAGCATGGCGTATTTGGGGATGTTATTTCCTGGATTTCTTTAAAATATATTCCAAATCCATCTTTTACAGAAATGGGAAAAGGCTGAAAGTGAAATGATTTGCCCCAAGTCACAGAAAGAGTTGATGGCAGAAGAAAGAGAATTACTCAAGCTTCCCAATTCCTACCTCAGCCCTTCTATTTCACTAGACCTCCTTCCCCCTCTGCTCAACACACACACACACACACACACACACACACACACACACACACACGAGTTGAAATCAGTTTGCTTCAGGACCACTGAACTTTCCAAATAGCCCTTAAAATTCTTGCTTCTTCCTGTCTGAGTATTGATGAACTGGGCCAAAGACAGCTAAGACTGTGATAAAACCCAGAGACCAAATTCCACCAGGAACACACCTGTAGTGAAAAAGAATTAGGTTTATGGGAGGGTGGGGTTGTGTAAAAGATAAAAAGAATTAGGCTTATTTAGCTTGTTCAGCAAGGAAGAACACCACCAGAGAAACTATGAGGTGCCTTTTGCTCTATAGCCCTGGGTAGAATGCAGTGGCATCATCACAGCTCACTGCAACCTCAAACTCCTCGGCTCAAGTGATCTTCCTACTTCAGCCTCCCAAATAGCTGGGACTACATGCACACACCAGGATGCCCAACTAATTTTTCTATTTTTAGTAGAGACGGGATCTTGCTCTTGCTCAGGCTGGTCTCCAACTCCTGAGCTCAAGCAATCCTTCCGCCTCAGCCTCCCAGAGTGCTAGGATTACAGGTGTGAGCCACTGCGCCTGGCCACCATGAGGTGTCTTGTAAAAGGTAACCGGGAAGAGCTTATTTTAGAATTTGGGGTTTGTGCTGGGTAACTCTAAGCGTGGTTTAAGGAAGGGGGAATAGTTTTGGATTGGACACAGTCAAGAAGCAGGGACAATTCAGTGACTAGGTATCTGAATAATTGGTATCCAGGAGGTAGGAGGATTAAAGCAAGGGTGGCACTCATATTAGTCAGAAGAGGAGGATGTTGTGTCATATTCATGGTACCAGAGTGGCCTTGTCTCTGTCTTGGTCCTACTATAGAGTGGTTTTATCCGATATTTGTTTATATTCTGTGATCACTGTTTATGTTCAGTTAGAAACATTGGGTCTAGCTGCCAGCTGAACAGTTTTTCATTTTCTTCCCTGTAAGCATTTGTCCTCTCGAATGTGGGATCCCACCCTCTTAATGTTTCTGGCCCTAAATGGTTAAGTGTGTCTCCTCTAGTTGGCAAAGGAGGGTAGAGTAGATCTTTGAGATCATCTACTTTAATTTCCCACCTCAGGCAGGACCCCCTCAGCTACATCTCTTCTAGGGTAGGGGACTCACTGCCACCCAGGCAGCTCCTCCCGTCTTTGTATGTCCATTGTCAAAACCAGGTTGTTGTCCCCATATATTGTTTGAAAACATAATACATGTACTTGGTTTAAAAATGCTGCATAAAAGAGCATACAGTGAAAATGTAATGTCCTTCCATCTTAAACCCCCTCTTCCCCATCTCTCAGATCTCCTTCCAGAGTTCCTAAAGTAATATACACATGCCAGTGTAGGAACCAAGGCACTTGGCCCCCTAAAGGTTCATGACATGAGGCAGACCGATTAACAGGAGAAAAGGCATGCAAATGTATTTAACATGTATACATGATAGCCTTCAGAATGAAGACTCAAAAGTATGGGAGAAATTGTCCATTTTTTATGCTTAGGTTTAAAGCATGGACAGCTATGGAGAAGTGTGATTGGACACAAGGGTATGATCTAATGCTAATAGACTGAGTGGGGAAACCCAGCAAGGCCTGTCTGTCTAGATTCTCCTTGGCCTCTCTGGGCATGCATTCCTGCCTTCTGGAAATAGGGCAGGGCCCTCTCTGGAATGGGGGTCTTATGACCAAACAAAGTAGGTCAGATCATTTCTTTATGGCCAGATTTTACACAGAATAATTGTAGGTTTTATGGCTGACTTTTGAGAAAAGAGGTTCTGGCTTTTATGACCTGCCGTGGGGAAGAGGGATTCTAGTTTCTCTGACTAGCTTCAGGGAAGAATGGGACTCAGAGACAGGAGGAATGAAAAAGTTCAAAGAAAACTGTTTGCTCCTTAGACCTTCATTTTGGGGTACTGTTTTCTGAGCCCCAACACCAGCATCGTGTGTATTATCCATCACTTCTTTTTACACATGGTAACATTCCAACCACAGAGAGTTGCACAGTGCTTTTTTCACTTAACTTATTCATTCATTCAACAAATATTTACCAAGCTCTTACTATGTGTCAGGCACTGTTCCCAGTCATGAGAAAACAGCAGAGAACAAAACAAAGTGCCTTCCTTAAAAGAGCTTATGCTGTGGTGCAACGAGACAAACAACAAATAAACAAATATATAACTGTCAGACACTGACAAGAACCGTGAAGAAAAAGAAAGGAGAATATAGTTCGTAGGGGTCTACTATTTTCAAGAGTAGCTAGGGCAGGTCTTTTTGAGGACAGAACATGGGAGCAGAGACGTGAGGGAAGTGTGGAACCAAGCCATAGAGACACCTGGAGGAAGACTGGTCCCAGCATGGACTAGCCAAAGTAAAGGCCCTGAGATAGAAGCATGCTTGTAAAGCAGTGGTCCCCAACCTTTTTGACACCAGGGACCAGTTTCATGGAAGACAATTTTTCCATGGACATGGTGGTGGGGAGGGGGTGTTGGGATGATTCAAGCCTGTTATATCTATTGTGCACTTTATTTCTATTATTATATTGTAATATATAATGAAATAATTATACAACTCACCATAATGCAACCTCTCTGCTAATGATAACCTGTATTTGCAGCCACTCCCCAGTGCCAGCATCACTGCCTGAGCTCCACCTCAGATCATCAGGCATTAGATTTTCACAGGGAGTGTGCAACCTAGATCCCTCCCATGCGCAGTTTACAGTAGGGTTTGTGCTCCTAGGAGAATCTAATGCTACTGCTGATCTGACAGGAGGCGGAGCTCAGGTGGTGATGCAGCAATGGGGAGCAGCTGTAAGTACAGATAAAGCTTTGGTGGGCCTCATAGCAGTATGCCCACTCACCTACTGCTATGTGGCCTGGTTTATAGCAGGTCATGGACAGGTACTGGTCCACGGCCCAGGGATTGGGGACCATGCAGTTGTGAAGGAAACCAAAATATTCCTCTCTAAAATACTGGGGATCACTGAGCTAAAGAGGGTCAAACACAGGGGACACTGCTTCTCCCTCTGCTTGCATGATGTCAGGGCAGCAATTTACAAAGATAGAGGTATTCCTGCCCTCCTCTCTTCCCTGTCCCGCCTTTACAAGGCATGCTTATCAGCTCAGAGACAGCAGTGTCAGATCTAGGAGAATTTACTCTTCCCATAAATTTACCTT